CCCACACGCCCACACACCCACACACCCACACACCCACACACCCACACACCCACACACCCACACACCCACACACCCACACACCCACACACCCACACGCACACGCACACGCACACGCACACGCACACGCACATGCACATGCACATGCACATGCACATGCACATGCACATGCACACACACACACACTCATTGGTTCCAGTTCTTGCAAAAAAGTACTCAACTGCTTCACCCTGAACCAAAACTTGGCGAGGTACGCGACATTGCGAAGACGACCGCCGGCCGGGCACCCATTTGCAACCAAGCCTTGCAGCGAAGAGCCACTCTGCAGTGCCAAGTTTCTGTACATGTGTCACCCAACACCCTGCGCCCTGAATCCTGAACCCTAACTCAACATGTGACGGCAGCTGAAAAGGCTCAGCTGCACAGCAGGCCAGGGCAGAGTGAAGGTCACGGAGACCCACACAATTTTTAGGGAACAGCAGAACAGACATGCACAGCCACATGGGGAGAGGCTCACACACACACAACATGGACAGGCAGAGAGGACCCATGACTTCTCACTTCTCACCTGTGCGGTACACGTAGGGAAGAATGCTGCCGCCTAAAGTGGTGCCAGCACGGCCAGGCATTCCAAAGGTTGCTGCACCAGTGACGCCGCCAAAGGGTGGCGGTGCACCAGTGGTGCAGCCAAAGGCTGGGGGACGCGGCGCTCGGCCAGATCGCAAAAGCCAGATCCGCCGGGAGTACTCCATGTCACTGGAGCGCCAGGGTCTCAAGCTGGCAGAGGTGAGTGCGGAGGTGGGGAAGCTGACTGTGGAGAATGCCCACAAGCAGGAGGCCATCGACCAGCTCACCATGCAGAAGGATTTGGCAGAGAAGGCCTTGCAGGAGTGGAAGGACAAGTACTCCATGCTGGAGCTGCACTACAAGCGCCTGCAGGACTCGATACAGCCATTGAGTGACCAGGCGCAAGCCCAGCAGAGCTACAAGTCCCTCTATGAGCAGGTTGTTGTGCAGAACCAGCAGCTCCATGAGGCACTCAACCAGAGCAACTTGAAGCATGAGCAGCAGCTCAAGCAGGTCATGGAGGATGTTTCTGCGAAGGATGAGCGGCGCCGGACGGAGATAATCAGGGGGCACAAGCAGGAGATCCTTGCGAAGCAGATCGAGATCACTGCCCTGAAGGAGGAGCTCATGCAGAAAGATGCTGTCAGCGAGGCCGGCTCTTCTGCCCTTGTTTTCATTCGTGTAGCCCTTGCGACAGACTTTGTGACATGGACAGGCTGCAGCCAAGGCAGGGCTGGCTCTGCATTCCAGTTTGGTAGGACAGGTTCTGTCACAATCTGTTTCTGTGGAGACTTGGAAGGCGAGCCCATCGGAAGCCAAAGCTCCAGAGGCACATGCCGTCCTTGCTCGTTGCACATTAGACTCGAAAATGAACTCTGGCAGGTGCCTGCCAAGAGAGCAAGGCTGCAAGCCGCCCCAGAGGCCTGCTCAGGTGAAGCATCATCCCTCTCCACGTCCGTCCTATCACTCCAGCTGTTCGGATGCTTACTAAATTCTTGGCAGCAGCTGGGTGCCAACCTAGGTGTCACAGGGTAAGGTGTGGGGTTTGGAGCTGGGGTCTTGAACTTCAACTAGCTCTAGGCTTGGGCAGGCGCTGGAAAGTACCTCAGCAGTGGTGCTGCAGAGTACCACAGTGAAGGGCAACAGTCAGGGGTTACACAGTTCAAGGTTTGAGTTGCGGGCGGGAGTTTGGAAATTTGCTGGTGCAGGTGCTGGAAAGTACCTCCAAAAGGTGCTGCAAAGTACCGATTTAAAATTCATAAGAGCCCTGCAGAGAGGCAGATGTCTTTAGTGCAATTTGGCTTCAAAGACTTCCAATTGCTAGGCCTGGCCCAAGACCTCAAACGGCTAAGTCATGACTGTGCTTTCTTGGTGGCCTTGACTTGCTAGCCTCCAAACCAGGTGGTCGCACCAAAGGCTGAGCAGCGCAGCATGCTGAGGGCCAAGGAGGCGGGTCACCTTCTCCACTTGTGCTGGCATTTATTAGGCTGCCAAGCAGGTTGCTGTGCCAAAGGCTCCGGATGTAGTCCCACCAAAGCCCAAGCAGGCGGGTTACCGTGTTCCATGTGTGCTGGCTATTTCCCTGTACTGTCTTCGTTGGCCCTAAACCCTAAACCCTTCCAACCAGGTTGCAGCACCAGTGCCCATTCCAAAGGGCAAGCAGGCGGGTCACCGACCTTCTGCATCTGTGCTTCTTAGCCATCATTGTACTTTGTTGCTGGGCTTCTTCGCCTCCCCACAAGGCTGCGGTGCCAAAGACCAAGCAGGTGGGTCACCTTCATGCTCCATCCGTGCTGGCTCTAAACCCTGAAAAAAACCCTGAATGCATTGCTGTGGAAGGCCACAGAAAAGAAGGAAGTGCGGGGGCAGGTGGCCAAGGCCCACCTCCTTGTTGGGGCTGACTTGAACAATTCAATGTTCATGGCTGCGCCTCGAAGGCGGTGGGCAAGACACCCAAGAAGGCCTGGCCAGAATCAGCTGGCTTGGGGTTTGCAGTTTTCGCCTCTCATCTTGTACTTGGCAGGAGAAGAAGACCAGGGCCAAGTCGGCCCGCAATCCGAGCCCTGATTCGGAGGACAGCTGAATGACTCTGTCAGACAAATGCAAAAGAAACTCAATGCCCCACGCGCAGGACTCTCCGACTCCGGTTCCCACGGACATTCCGTCCCCAACGAGCCCGCATGTCTGAGGGACTTCGCTGGGTTTGTGGGCCCTAACCCCTAAACTCTAAGCCCTAAACCCTAAACCCTAAACCACTGGAGCTACACTGGGTGCATTGAAATCCTCGCATTTAGTGCCCACTCTCACAGCAGTACTACTAGTTGGCAGGAGCCTTTTGGAGTCCTGGGTGCCTGAGCAGAGCCAGCAACAAGGTCCAAGGAACACCCATTTCATTCAGCTGGACAATGTCATCTAATTACTCTGGGAAACACTAACCTTCTTTCACCTTTATGCTTCAATGGAATATAGAGATTCTTGGAGAAGTGCTGGCTCTTTTGGCAACGTCCCAGGGCCCACTGCTTCTTCGCCGTTTGGTTGCCCGCCATCTGTTCAGGGAGCAAGAACTTACAATCCTGATCCATACTCTGGTATGGCCTTTCCAGAATATGTTATGCCCAGGGGTCAATGCATTGCACAAGGGTGGGCCTCTCACCTGGCTTCCTGGGCGGATCTTTCTGGCCAAGGGCAGCAGCAGTGTGCTAGGTTTGAATTCAATTGTACATGGCATTGGTCCTAGATGTGCAACAAACTGGCTTAATGTCTTAGTAACAGTGAAGCTTCTGCATTACGGAAGGAGTATTGAATGACATGCTCGGTGCTTTCACAGCTGCTGTTGCCTGGTGCAGTTGGACCTTTCACTGTGTCTGGCAAGCTGGGTTTCTTTGCTCAGCAGTCATCTTCCAAGCCTAAACCGTAAACCCTAAACCCTAAACCCTTTAGCATTTCTTGTCTATGTTTTCGAAGGCATACTTTTGTTGGTTTTGCCTCCCAGCGATAGCTCTGCCCTCCCTTGGGTGCCGGGGGTAAACCGGCGGCTATCGCAAGGATTGCCGTTCTGAACTTAGTGGTATTGTAGTGTTATTGCTTGTTGTTGCCCCCACCCTTCGAAAAGCAGAAAAGTGACCTCTTCCCGGGTCGGTTTCCGGCGCCACAGGGCCTTCTTTTCAACAGCGTGGGTGGTGCGATGTTGCCACCTGTGTTGTGTTCCTCGGGTGCCTCGCATCAGTGCGACTTGTGAGATGGTGCTGGCAAAATGCAATCCAGATAAAAAACATGCGTTTCAGAGCTTGCTGTGTCTGCAGGCGCAAGAGAGTCAAGAACAGAAAGTCACATCTCCACTGCAACACACTGCAGAGATCCATGCATGCTTCTTGGAATGTGGGTCCCAGGCCTGCAAAGTGCAGATCCCTTGCCATTGACCTGGCCCCAGTCAGCTGCTCTCTCTGAGTTCTCAACGTTCCACAGGTAGCCATTGGACTAGATTAATTAGCAACGTCCTGGAAAGAAGTATAGGGATGCACCAGGGTTTTCTGAGTCTTCAGTGTTTTTTGGTGGCCATGTGAACCAAAATACTGTAACCAGGGTTTGGGTTACCTTAATCTTCCAGGTGTCAGGGCAGCCCACATGGGCTTCTGAACTCCCGAACTAATGCAGGCCTGGGAACTTGGGTTTCAGGGTGTTGGGGAGCACTTTTACAGGGTTCATTGTGTATTCAGCATTGCAGTGAGCTGGACCATACAGGCTGAGGCCTCAATGACCCAAGAGAGCTAGACTTATGACAGTTAGGTAATATGAGTGGGAGGAGCCTTCAGGGAAAGCTATCTATGCCCATGACACAGAACCTTTCGGAAGCAGTGGGCGGATGTGCACAATCTCCCATCACCCAGCCAGGGCTTTGTGTCCAGGCTCTAGCAACTTTCCTTCCTACATGATGTATTTGCAAAGTCTAGAAGCTGGCCGAACTCAGGCGCAACCCACAAACTCAGGTGCAACAGCAAGCATGCAGTCAATTTTGGCCACACACTTTTATCCATGGCTGCTGAGGTCACTTCTTCTGCCCTGACCTGGAAGCATCTACCTGCCCACTTCCACTTCCCTGTTGCCACTTGCGCTTGCCCTGACGTCGTTTTTGCTGCCGCCAGGCGTTGCGGGAGCACTTGGCCCTGGCTCCTGCTTCAGGCACAACTGGCCCTGGGGCTTCAGGTTCAGGGGCCATTGAGATTCCCCCCTGACTCTCCGAATCCATTCTCTCCATGTGGTTTGATTTGGCTCCTGCTTCAGGCACAACTGGCCCTGCGGCTTCAGGTTCAGGGGCCATTGAGATTACCCCCTGACTCTCCGAATCCATTCTCTCCGTGTGGTTTGATTTGACCTGCAGTGGAATGGCATTGTGTTCCACAGCAGCAATTAGATCTTGTTCCTGAGGGTGCAGGTAATGGCGTTCAAAAGTGCGGACATCAGTACGAGCTTGGAGTGCTAGGATTGTGGCCTGTGAAGGCCCTTGGGAGCCGTCATCAGCTGGGCACAGGAGCAGTGCAGCAGCAGTGTGACGTGTTGCTCCATGTACCGTGATGTGGCTTCCTCGGAAAGCTTTGGCTGGGTTGAACCGTCGCTTTCTAGTAAGCTTGTACATGACACCTCTTGCTTTGTCCACTGCAGTCCACACTGATTGCCTGCTTAGCCATGGGCATTTGCTTGAGGGTCGTGGTGTTGCAAACCATAGCGCATCTTCATGCAGGGGCTGCGGCTGAAACTTGCGAGGAGCAGTTGCTTTGATCTTCGCCAGCACTTCTGCGTGGGCTGTCCGCATTCTCTCCAAGGCAGGCCAGCACTCATGCTCCAACCCAGTCTCCAAGAACTGTTTGATTGTGTCCTGGGCTGTGCTGGGAAGCCTGGAAATAATTGTTTTTCCGCGAAGCTTGCCCATGCCAGGCAAGTGCCTCTCCGACTCTCGCACTGCAAACCGAATGTAGGGCTGGTCGCAATCGGGCCCACCTTCCAGGTGAATGTCTTGGCCCCGAAGTCGTAGGCATTCACTGATGCGTCTTTGGCTTATCAGGCAGACCCAGATGACTGCTAAATAGATGGGGCCACAACAGAATAACACCACAGCCCAGAATAGTGGAAGGTCCTCTTTCTGCAGAAAAATATTCTGAGAGTCTGTAACGCTCTGGTGCCGACCCTTGTTCCAAGGAGCAGTCTTCGCATTTGTTCCTTTCTTCTTTGGCGTGGCTTTTCCTGTGGCTTTTGCTCTGGCTTTTGCTCCTGCTTTTGTTGCAGCCTTGGGAGCCATTGCAAGGCCAGTGCTACATCACGGATGTCATGGAATGCCATTGGATATTAATGGTCAAACTGAGCAGTGCTTCGACGTGCTGGTTGCATGTTGTAGCTGCGTTGTCTGAGATGTCGAGACTGTTGAGGAAAGCTTAAGCCCAATTGTGGCACGGGAAAGAGTGCAAGCTGGGCCCGGGTCAGCTTGATTTTTTCAACTTTCCCTTGATGGCTCAGGGCATGCTCTGCAGCAGACGGAGGGCTCGCGCCTCAGCAGATCACCGCGGAGCAGGGGTTCGGGGCCCTGAACAGAGCAGTGGACTCAGACTCGTGGAATTGAAAGCTGCTGGTCTGCGGGGTGCACCGGACATGTTGGCAGCCAGGGGGTTTTGGGGGCTTCTTGTCACTGCAGTGGGTTGCCTGGGAAGTGTCACTTCTGCAGTAACATAAGCAGACATGTGCACTGAAAGCATGGGCAGTTCTGCAATGTTAATGGTGACTACAAGACTGAGGGCACATGTGGACTTCGAGGGTGAGGCCATCCACATGCAGGCACACCTGCCGTACTTTGCGGAAGTGTACATCTGAGGCATGGTACTCATTGGCATGCAGCTACAGATCATCATATGCTTTCAACCCCAAGGTCCGAACTTTAAGTTTGCTGGACAGTGCTCCAGTTCGTGCTGCAAGGTTGGTGTTTTTAAGGTTGACAGGGGGGCTTACACAGTGTCGGTTGCGTTGGGTTCCGAGGCTGCAGGAATTGAGGGGCATGTAACACTCCGGAAATATTAGCTGCAGCAGGTGCAGAACTTCAGACCCCTAGCCTTTTTCCTAGATAAAACGGCGCGGCCCTCCCTTGTAGCTGCCTTGTTGACCCCTGTTGCATGTTATCCCGCTGCAGTACTCCGGTGTCGAGTCGTCTGCGCGCATCAATCCTAGACCGTGTTAATGAAAATTCTGGGAAAATTCACGAGACTGGTCCAAGGTCCTTCTTCATGAAGTTGTTCAGTAAATTGGTCTCGGTACCCTTTACAAACCTTGAATAGGATCCTGGCCCATCCGGAGGCCTTGAGTTCACCTCAGTGCCAGCACCTCAAAGGCAGAGAGGAGCCAGGGCATGTGCAACGGCATGCGCAAGTGCAGCTTTTAGTGGTGCTGTAAAGTACGTGAGCTCATAGGGTTGAAGAGTTTAGGGTAGGGCAGGTGCTGTAAAGTACCTCTAGTCTGGTGCTGCATAGTACCAGCAGGGTATGGGTTCCTACAATGTAGCTGCAAAGTATCTTGGATGTAGGGGGTTGCTCATAGGATTTGAGATGGTAGGATAGGGCAGGTGCTGTAAAGTACCTCTAGTCTGGTGCTGCAAAGTACCAGCAAGTTTTGGGCGTCTACAATGTAGGATTTAAGGCGGTGCTGGAAAGTGCCTTCATTGAGGTGCTGTAAAGTACCTGAGATTTGGTGCTTTGTCACAGGATTTTAGCTAAGGTGTAGCGTTTCAGGCACTGGACAGTGCCTGAAACAGGTGCTGCAAAGTACCACTAAACCTTAATTAACCCTATAAACCATATACTTTTTTTTTGGACTACTCCAGGCAACACACTGCCTACTACTTCTGTTTATAGAGTAGCTATTACCCATTATAGCTACTACTGCTGCTGCTACTACTGCTACTACTACTGCTACTACTACGAGGATTACGACAACAACGACGACAAGGACGAGGACCACCAGTGCTATTAATGTCTTACTCCAAGACGGTGTCAGGACTTCAGTTGCATAGCAGCACAGGTAGACGCCACAGATACATTTGATGCCTCGTTCTAATACTGTCGGAGTCAGTGACACATTGCAAAACCTCGCCACTGTGGACATGCCATCTGACCTGCAGGGGCCAAGAGCAGCACATGACAGGGGGCAAGCACGAGGCCCGTCAGCAAAGCTGCCAGGGTCATAAGCCAACCAACTGCAAGGGGCTTCCGCATCTAGCAGAATTGCAGCACGCATTCTCTGCCCCTGTCAATGGAAGGCGGCAGTGACTACTACTGTTAACGCCTTACTCCAAGACGGTGTCAGGACTTCAGTTGCATAGCAGCACAGGTAGACGCAGTAGATGGATTTGATGCTCCTTCTTTTAATACTGTTGGAGTCAGTGACACATTGCAAAACCTTGCCACTGTGGACATGCCATCTGACCTGCAGGGGCCAAGACCAGCAAATGACAGGGGGCAAGCACGAGGCCCGCCAGCAAACCTGCCAGGGTCATAGGCCAACCAACTGCAAGGGGCTTCCACATGCAGCAGAATTGCAGCAGGCATTCTCTGCCTCTGTCGTCTGTCAATGGACGGCAGCAGTGAGTTAGAACATGCCCTGTGTGGAGGGGCCACAGCACACATTGCAAGAAGCACAGGCAACTTGAGATTTGCATTTAATGTCTTACTCTGAGACTGTCAGGACTTCACTTGCATAGCAAGACAGATGCGGGTCTGTGCAGGTAGACGCCTACAATCTCCATAGAGCTGCATTTAGTTCATCTGATGTTGCTTCTGATGCTCTTGGACTAAGTGACATAGTGACAGGGGGCAGGCGCAAGGCCCACCAGCAAACCTGCGAGGGTCAGAGGCCAACAACTATCTGCAAGGGGCTTCCACATGTAGTAGGCACTCATGCTGCTTGGAGTTTACATGCATGCTTTCCGCTGCCACAGCCATTTGGATCCTGTGGTCCTGTGAGATTTTCCAAAGATATCTTCTTGGCGGTGCTTGCTTCGAGGTGCCTGCGGGTCAAAAGCAAAAGGCTGACTTCAGATTTGAGGGACAGAATCTGTTTGTGCTGGGCCAAGAGACTGCTGTATTCTCTTCTTCAGTTGATTTGGTTGCAATGGCCTTACACAGGTGCCTGGGTTGGCGTTGCTGGTGTGACAGTGGACCCCTGGCTGTGAACAATATTCACTGTATGAGCCCTCTATTGTTTCTCTGCAGGATTCAGGGTCTTGTACCATAAACTTGTACCACACAGCATGGCAACGCTGGGGTCAGCTGCAGAATTCTACCAAATGGATGCTGTCATGCTCCATACCACATTTCTTCCCTTGTAGGCTTGCAGAGCCCAGAAGACTAAATTGCATTGCAGAATTTCTGACTCCCTGGCAACAATGTCATTCAGTTTGGCTGCTAGGCTTCCAGAGCCCACAGTACTAAATGACAGAGTCATTTGTGACTCCCTGGCAGCACAGTCATTTAGTTTTGTGGGCTATAGGGTGTGTTGCCCACAAGACTTAATGCGTCAGTCATTTGGCCATGTGCTTTCAAATTCCTCAAACTCCTCAAGTCTTCAAAAGAACAGGAATACCTAATGAGCCTCCAAAGGCCACAAAAGTTAGAGGAAGCATTAGAAGGCTGACAATTGTGGGCTACACCCCCTGTAGCCCACTAAACTATAGGGAAAGATAATGTGCCCACAATTCTTGGATGTGTAATGCCTCATGCAAAGACATGTGGGCACATTTTCTTTCCCTATAGTTTAGTGGGCTACAGGGGGTGTAGCCCACAATTGTCAGCCTTCTAATGCTTTGTCCAACTTTTGTGGCCTTTGGAGGCTCATTAGGTATTCCTGTTCTTTTGAAGACTTGAGGAGTTTGAGGAATTTGAAAGCACATGGCCAAATGACTGACGCATTAAGTCTTGTGGGCAACACACCCTATAGCCCACAAAACTAAATGACTGTGCTGCCAGGGAGTCACAAATGACTCTGTCATTTAGTACTGTGGGCTCTGGAAGCCTAGGTGTCAAACTCAATGACATTGTTGCCAGGGAGTCGCAAATGACTCTGTCATTTAATATTGTGGGCTCTTGAAGCCTAGGAATGAAGCTACGTGGTAGGGAACACGAGAATCAGTTGAAGACCTCAGTGCAAGTAACCATATCTTCTCATAATAAGGCACACAGTGACTCATCTGCTGTGCAGGTGCCATGGCTTTGACAAGGGACAGCGTGATAAAGAAGCTGAATGGCGAGCTGAGGAAAATGTTTCTGCCAGGTGACCTGGCAGATCCGAAGTCTGGCACGCATGTTGTGGATTACTTTGTGGCATTGGACCGTGTGGCATGGGTGCAGAGCATGCAAGATCTCCGTGGCCGTCTGCAGACACTGGGCTGGATGCAAGAGCCCGAGGTCACGCATGTGCCACAGCCAACTGCAGCTGTGGATTTCATGGCCAACATCACAATGCTGAACTTGAATCTTATGCGTGGCAAGCCGAAGGTTGTGAATGTCATTGAGACGGTTCGTAATTTTCTTGACCAGAAATTCGAATCCTTGCGAAGCCCCCTGGTTGTGGTCCCGGACACAGGACTGGGGCAGCCAGTTGCCACTGGGACATGGACTGTCTCAGTTGGCATGACCAGAGCACTTGCTTGCCGCCTCGTCTGCAGTCTTGCAGAGCAGCACCTTGCAGACGAGGAGTTGCAGTTGCTGAGGGCAGAAGTTTCTGCCTGTTTTCAGTTCAAGTGTGTCATGGAGGTGCCGGTGCCGCCAGAGGAACTTGTGGCCAAGAGCATCCGAGCCAAATTCGTGGTCTCGGAGTCGACAAGGCCAGACATTCTTCAGTTGTACTCCGGGCTACAGGCCAGCTTCGCGACCCAAGGATTGGTGTATCAAGATGCCATTGCGGCATTTGTGGCCGATTTCAATGCCAAGAGCAGTGTGGAAACTGCACGCCTCAGCGAAGGCGAAGTGAAGATGCTTCTGTTGCTGCCAAGCCAAGAGGCGCTGTTCTTGGAGGCACTCTCTGGCCACTGGGACCAGTTTAAGAAGGAGGACTCGGGAATCACGATGCGCGTTCTGCTCAGCCAGGTCAGCAGGACGAAGGCGAAAGATTCGCGAGTCCCACTCGTCTGGCAAACAATCTTTGCTCCCAGCGCCAGGAAGAACACGTACTTCATCCTTCGGCAGATAGCTGTCTTTGTGAAAGCTGTGCAGCAGGCCAGCAGCACCCTGAGGAAGGGCCAGAGCCTGAATCTGCCGGTACGCGCAGCATCATTGATGACATAAATCAGATTCTCTTTTTCTTGGCCATAGTGGTTTTGAATTTAGAATCTTCAGAAGGGTTTTCTTCCTGGGTCATGAAGAAAACGGCAGAGGCACGCTTTCGTGACCAGAGCCCAGACCTTGGCTATGACATTGTCTGCTGCTGGGCGCACTGGGAGCAGGACTTCCGGACGGCCTTGGGAGGCAAGTACGATGAGACCTTCAACAAGTTCCTTGCCGGAGCCTTTGACAAGGAGTTCACTGAGAAGGTGAAGACTCAGGACGGGGGCCTTGTCCTGGAGGATTGGCGTTTCCTCAGTATCTTGCAGGGAACGGACACAACGGTGCGGAGCTTGGAGGTGAAACAAGCTGAAGCTGATCAAGCAGCTGAGCGTGCAAAGTATGCCGCGTGGGAGGCCGCTGTCCTGAAAGAGCAGCAGCTCTTTCAGGAGTACTGTGGGAAAGTGAGGGCACATGAAGCAAAGAGGCAAGCCGACGAGCGGGCCTTCAGGCTGGAGGATGCGGCATGTTTTGACAAGGCCTGTGCGCAGTACATGGAAGCCTGGGTGCCAGTGCTTGGTCCCATTGCTCCAGAGTTTGTCAATGCGCAGTCCCGCAAGCTCCTCAATGAGTTTGCTGTGAGGCAAGGCGTCCAGCCCGATGGTGTGGTCAGCCTGCTTCTTGCTGATCTCACGAAATTGGGGTCGGCATTCTCCAAGCATCTCACAAATGTCACCAAATTCGTGGCGGACCACGTGCAAGCGGACCCCCTCAATGCAGCAGCTTTGGTGTTTCCACCAAACACGGGCTGTTGGGGCTCCACCTTCAACGAAGCGGAGGTCGAGAAGGCGATTGGCGACGTGGAGTCCGCTCTCAAGATGGAGCAGGGATCTCTTGTGGTTCGCAAGATCACCTTGACCCTGGCTGAGTCTTGCCTGGCCGCCCAGAGCAGACGTTGTGGATTTCATGAAGCTTTCTTCTGTATCAGCAGTGTGAAAGGTGCAGAAGGGGAACTGTTGAGTCACTGGGTGAAGTCTGTGACGTACTACCGCCGCACCATCCCTGATGTGCCAGTGGCAGCCCATGCGGACTACGTAGTCCCAGACCTCTCCGCCATCAATGGGTGCACGTCCATTTCGCAAAGGCTTAAACAAGCCTTGAGTGGGGAAGCCTTCTACCTCAAGGTCCTCTCCAAGCTCCGAACAGGGTTGCCGCCGAAGGTACTTGCTGCACCAACCATCATCATAGACATCACACCCTACGACTTTCAGCTGCATCATTAGAGATGATATCAGAGCTTTCTCACTGTGTCTCCAGCTGTAGCTGAGGAAGCCAAGCTACTTCCGAAGTTGTTCACTTGGGAGTTCCAGTTGCTGTGTTTGGGCTCGCACTGCTTCAGTGTCCCTAATTGTGCATGGCAGCCTGTGGTGAGGTGAAGGCAGGTGCAGTGATTTGAGCTCGGTGTCTAGCTCACTCTGTTGTGGGCAAGACTCGGGGCTCAGCAAATTCACTTGCAATTTCTGGTGCTTCGCCAGCTGTAGATCATGGTAGAGTTTGGGTTTGCACCTAAGTGTTTAGAGGCTATAGAGGGTGCAGGCCAGGTCCTGCAAAGTATCTAGCAAGTGGTGCTGCCAAAGTACCCTTCAGGTGTCGCAGAACGATATAGGAAGTGGTGCTGTGAAAGTACCTGTTAGGTCTTATAGAATGATCTAGCAAACAGTTGATGTAGCAAGTGGTATTTTCTTTGGCCTAACTAAGGACCTTTCCCTCATCAAGGCTCGGACGTTGTCTTCCCTGGAGCCGCATGCCAACCCCACCATGGTTGCTTCCTTGATCTGGGCAAGGGACGACAGCGGCGCAGACCGCCGTGTGCAGCTTCTTGAGTGGCTGAATGCAAAGTTCAAGCGAACGCTGCAAGACTTGGTCAAGGAGCGGCCAGATATCCTTGAGGAGTATGGCTACAAGCCCAACACACTTGAGGTGACCAGCCTGCCCTCGTACAAGGACGCAGACTTCATTTGGACGATTCCTGTGGTTGAGGCAGGGAAGCATTTCCTTCCAATGAGGGCTGACAAGCTTCAGGACTTCAAGATGTCTTTGAATGTCTGCCAAGAGATGATGGCTGCAGCTGTTGTGCAGCACAACCAGAAGTTCAATCCAGCTGGCCACGCGTGGACTCCCGCCAAGAAGCGGACAGCTGAGATTGCTGAGCTCGACCAGGGAGAGGCATTGAACCTCTCCCCATCTGGCAAGGTCGAGGACCTGCCCCAACCGGTTATCACCATCCTGCCAGATGGGGCCACCACCTTCAAAATCTTGCTGGACAACAAGCGACAGGTCTGGCTGCAAGCCACAAGTGACGGTGAGGTGTCCGTCTATCAGCCCCTCATGTTGGCGTGGGGCTCCTATGTTACCGGAGCTGATGTGGAAGCTCGTGAGAAGGCGAAGGCTTCCTTGCTCTCCATGGCGTTCCAGTCCGCAAGTGATGGCAGGGCATTCTGCTTCCATGAGGACCTGGAAAAATTGAAGCCTCCATTTGTGGGCAAGTGCTGCAGCATCAAGGAGTTCCTCGAGTACTTGGAAGGCAAGGGGGTTGTCAAGCCCTTCTTTGTCAGCCACGAGCTCAAAGTCCAAGACGGTGATCCGAAGTTTGCTCTGCGCAGCACAGAGCCTTGCGCATTCGAGAAGAAGGATGTGCCTGCAAACCAGCAGGCATGCTACCAGAATGCTTTGAGCATGATGGACCTGAAGGCCCTGCAGAGTGAGCAGACTGTCAATGTTTTTGTTCAGCACCGCCTCAAATTCTTAGACAACAAACAACAAACAGGCATCTATCCTCAAAAGCCGGGGCTATTCTTAAAGAAACGGCTCCTCATTGCCAGTGGCCAGTTGTACAGGCTGGTCTAGTTCGCCCAAGCAGCTGGCAAGGATTTGGGCCTCATGCGCTGCGGGAAGGCTGCGGTTTGCCAGATCACGCATTTGTTATCAACTTCAACCAATATGTTTTCAGGTGCTACTTAGCTAGTCAGTTGGCACAGCAGTCTTCCGGAAACGATTCTTTCTCCAGCGGACTTTTGATGCCATAGCCTCTTCGGCCAAAATCTGCCTTTTTGATCAAGCAGAGCTCCAGAGTGATACCTCTTAGGTGTCTTTCACATGGCCAGCTGTCACCCTTGAACTTGCACCCCGCTGCATCTGAGCTTTGAAAGGTTGTATCCATTGCCTTGTCCTGTGATATCTGATCATGGCCTGCCTTTGGTTGGGGGATGCTGCCAGTGACTGCGAGGGGAGGGAGATGGAGGAAGAGTGGAACGAGGCTCTCGCTGCGGCGCCCCCACAGGTCGCTGCGGCGCCCCCACAGGTCGCTGCGGAACGCCCAAAGAGTGCTGCTGCAGATGTTCATGGTGCTGTGATCAGAGACGCAGCACGGGGAAGTGCGTCACCTGCAGGGCAAGATGAAGAGCAGGGGAAGTCCTTACCCTGGTGGAAGAAAGCTGCTGATGCGAAAGCCAAGGCCAAGGCAAAAGCCAAGGCCAGTGCCAAGATGGTTTCCAACCGCGTCATTGGCAAGCAGGCTCCCACAGAGTCAGGTCCGAAGCCACGCTCGGCAGACAAGAAGAAGCGCGCCCAGCGGGGGCAAGCACAAACCTTTGCAGGCCGCCGGCCACCTAAAGACCCGGCTCTGTATGAGGCTTTCATGGCCATCCGTGAGGGGTACTACCAGGAAGTGAAGAAAAGCAATGCCCAGGGCAAGCGCACCATGAGCATGGGCCAGGAGCTCTTCTTGCTGAAGATGAGGCAGATGATGCAGAAGGACAACTCCACGGATTCCCCACAGGTACCCAAGCTGCAATGTGTGTGTCTGTAAATCTAAAGGTCTTTGTGGAGTGCTGTAATCATGGAATGCTGCTCCAAGGTCAAGTTTCAAAAAGCCATTGCTGCATGGAAAGCAGGTGGCAATGCAGGTTCTGATTGAGTCAGAGACTCCATTCAGCGGTGGATGCTTTCGAGGCAAAGTTTCTTTAATGTGCTGCCTACGGATGGGCAGCCCCTTTTGTAAGAGCAGATGGCAAGTCTGTAACAGCAGAAGCCATGGGTTGATTTTGATTACTGGGGAAACATGGAATGTCCATAGCAATGCTTTGTCAGTGGCACCGGGCGCTGCTGCCTCTATCCTTTGAGCAGCTCCCAAAGCTTGCTGCAGAGCTAGTGTATGGTACGCACCATGAGACGGCTTGCTTGAAAATGGCTATCAATCATGCAGTCAGATGCCACCCATCTCATGTGCAGCAACATCTACAATCTGTTTTCTTGCTTTTTGGCAGGCTTCGTCTTCGGCAGTGCCTCCGATGGTGGGGGCCTGGAATTGGCCAGTATGGAGAGTGCTGTGCTGTCATAGAAGAGGAAAGCCAAGGGGTGCCCTACAGTTGCAGGTCCAGCACCTTCTGTGGGTTTTGCATGACAGGTGCTGCTAGCACCTTCTGTGGGTTTTGCATGACAGGTGCTGCTAGCACCTTCTGTGGGTTTTGCATGACAGGTGCTGCTTTGCACGCGCCCTTGTTGCTGCCATTGGCTTTCATCAAGGTGACCCCGTAGAGTGTTTAGCCTTAGATTCTGTAGCCCAAGATTTGCAGCTTGAGGCCCAAGATTACTAAACCCTTTATGTGTAGCCCGAGACAAGAAATTCTTTCTGTGATTGCTTTGTTGCGCATGCATGCACGTATGTTGGCAACGTGTACTCTAGGATAATCCAGCATGTCGAACTGGAAATGCCTCAGCCTGACAGAAGACAAATGCCAGGACAGTGACAGTCACTGGAAATTCTTTCCTTTGGAGGGGGTGCAAGGCGCTGCAACGTGCAGAGGCCAAAAGAGATCTGCCACTTCCAATGGCGTGAGCAGTTGGACCGACTTCCCATTGGATGGAGTCGTTGCGCATCCCGGGGGGCAAAAGCAACTGAAGTGCACACAGCAGTCCCCGAAGGCTTCATCCTGGCAACACCTGCCTTTGGATACAGAAGTTCCTCCTGTGAAGCACCAATGCAAGCAGTCACGGAGTAGTGCAGCAGCAGCTGTTAGTACACCCGTGGTCCACAAGCCTTGCCTGGACAATGACAGTTGGAAGAGCTGCCTGTCTGCAGAAGAGGTTGTGGCTGAGAAGGGAGCTGGGCCTCTTCAGGTAAACCTGACCAGGGAGGTGCTGTCATGTATGCCAAAGGTGCCACTGTCGCACCAGACATCCTACGCGCAGACTGGCAAGAACAGCAGCCGCATCCAAGATGTCCTGAGATCACGCTGTAGTTGCACTGCAAATTGCTTGTCCAAGCTCCAGAAGACAGCAACAGAGGCTGTTGTGCGCATGTGGCATGAGCTTTCCCCTGAAACACATCTCATGGTGCTCCATGGCCTCTATGACAGCTGCCCTGAGAAGATGGACTGCAGGAGGCGACAGTGGGCTTTGAACGGTCAACACGTGTGCTTCCGTGGCTTGGCCAAGGTCCTGGGCCACAACGAGCGGACGCTGCGCAAGTGCATTCATGGTGATGCTGACAAGCGAGGTGCTGAGCTACGGCAGCCTAGGGACTGCCCCCAGACGACATTTGTGCATCACTTCTTCCTCGATCTTTATCTCACTGCAGCAGAGGATTTGCCAGAGGTTGAAAGCTTGCAGAATCCAAACTGCAAATTGGCATCTACGTCTTTTGTTATTCTGCTTCTAGTTGGGGGGTTGACCTTGGAAAGCCACTGACATTTCAAGTCCTTGACGCAGGAATGTCGATGAGAAAATCAAGGCAGGTGACATTGCTGAGCCACAGACTTACCAGTGGTCACCGGAGACGCCAGTTGTGGACCGCATAGTTGCTCTTCTCTCCAAAGACTGCACTGCCCCTCTGCGGTGGCTGCCACCTGGTCAGCTGAGTGACCTTTGGCTGCAGTTTCTGGCCTGGTCGGAGTCACATAGCAGGGTGCGCAGGAACAAGGATACAGTGAAGATAGGTCCAGGCCTGGAATTTGTACCCGGCTGGTACACGTTCTACAACGCTTGGAAACATCATTGGCATTTGCGTCTCCTCAGGTTCAGGCCAACATCCTCACACAAAGAATGCGACATTTGTTTTGATCTCAAGGAAGCCTTGCATCTACGATCTCTGTCACAGGAGGAGAAGGTCAGTAAGGCTGCTGAGTGGCGCCAGCACTTAGCAGACACTTATCATGACAGACTGATATACTATACCATGCGGTATGCCAGCAAAGCCCGTCTCAATGTTCTTTGCATGACCATTGACAGTATGGACAAGGCAAAGTGGAGCTACCCTCGCATGAACATAGGCCGGCTCCCTGACAGTCTTGAAAAGTTGAGAAGACCCAGATTAGTCGTGACTGCTTGCTTGGCTCATGGCTTCACTACTGGCCTCTTCGTGCAAGACAGTGAAAGGGTCACCCATGGGGCCAACTGCTTCCTGGACCAGGTGTGTCGAATCATTGACGTTGTCAGGACGCAGGGGCCTTGCCCAGAACATTTGTTCTTGCAAACTGACAACACAACTGCGCTGTCCAAGAACTCTACCAGCCATGTTTTTGCAGCTTTACTGGTTGCCAAGAAACACTTTGCAACTGTCAATATGACATACCTGGTGAAAGGACACACGCATGAGGATATTGATGCCTACTTTTCAAGGCTGTTGCCAATCATTCGCCGCTCTGAGTTCAACAATGTGTCAGAGGCTGCAAGCCTCCTGCGCCGAGAGCTGCGAGGAAATACAGATGGCCAGAAAGATCCTGTGGTAGTGCAGGAAGTCAAGGCTGTGAAGGACTTTGATACATGGCTCCACCCATTGGGTACCAGGCTGCACAACACCTTTAGAACTCGGAAGCTTGGCTGGCATAGTGCGCTTTCCCTGAGTCCTATGCCCTGGACTCCAAGGCAGCAGATTCATGGAAGAGTTTGTTTCCCACAACACCTAATTTAGTATCCATGGCACATGATACGCAAGCACCAGCCTGGTTCTTCAGAAGTTCATGTCACCTTGAGTGGAATTTCGAGCTTTAATTTTGAATTCAAGTTTCCCAGGCAGACTCATGAACTAGATGTCTTGGTGCTTCTGTGGCAGATGTGAGTGTCCAGGAGGTTTTACCTGCAGTTGAAGAAGATTAACTTCATGAGACGTGATGGTGCTTTCCCCATTCCGGCCCAAACCCCCTTGCCCTCAGTTATGCACCCAGGATAGATCCTCGAAGTGGGGAAGAACGACCAACGGCCCATGCCTTCACATACAAGAGGCGTCTGGACTTGACAACAGAGGAGCGCCAGCGACTTCCGGCAGTCGACTCTCAGGGTCACCCAGATGATGTTTTCGGCGTTGTGAAAGGACGGATGTTCCATGACATTGACGAAGCACATCCTCCAGTGCTGGTGTTGCCGCACAGCAGGCTTGAGAGCCTGCGCTCCTTTCGCGAACTGGCCCTGGAGAAGCGCAATGTCTTCTCTGCGGAGCGTGCTAAAACTCTGCGCAAGCTGGCCGACACTCTTAATGAGATCTGCCGACCCGAAGGGGCTGCGAGTGTCCGAAACTTGCTGGCTGATGATGCCACTTTGGAGGAGTACAGTGGTGACATGAAGTGGCTTGCGCAGCCAGGCCAAGTCCATCATCCGGCTTTGGTGGTCACAGGTAATCGATATTTTGCACACATGCCAGATGTTTCTTGGCCACTGCTGGCGACATTCCGGCGGCAGTAATAGTTGGAGATGTGCAGCATATGCTTGCGATATTATTTCGGTGTCATGAAACTAGATATTCTACTCAGCTGAATGGGCATGGGTGCTGCTTCTCCAAGGTAGCCTTGCAGGGGTGTTGCAAGGTTGGTTGCCATGGGCTCTGATCCATGCGTTGTGCATCTGTGCAGCAA